GTGGTTGACTCTTAATCTCTTTGGATCTGAGACTTTAGTCTTTGCAACTTTACAGATCTTCTTTATGCACCAAGAGCTTGTAACACTCCAAAGAGAAAGGAAAACTTGAAATCGCATCATATGACCCCTTTAAACACACCCCTCCAACCGTTAGATTGTTTTGAGTGAGAGACAGAGAGGAGGAGCGCAAAAAAAAAAACCTCTAATAACCCTCAAAAATAATGCCCTCTATTCAATATTCTGTTTCAGTTGGAAATACATCACTACACTGAAATATAGTCGGCAGCAACTTCCGGTCAGCCGTTTTTAGCGGCGGGACAAATGGGTCATAATGATTGACAGCAGCTCACTGATGCCCTCTATACATGTTATGTTGAAAATCACCTGGAATATTCCTTTAAAACTGACCGTCTTTCATGCACATTGTTTCTCTCAGTTCTCTGGGTGCTGTATGGAACTGTGAAGGGTTTGTAGTTTGATTCATTGACTGCTCCTTTTCACTCCATATGTAGCTGTTTCATACAGTGAGCAATGGTTTCCTTCAAGAAGTTTCTACTTTATTTTTCAGTTGACCAGATGCAACACATATTTTGTGATTTTTATGAATGAAGAAAGAACTGGCTGATTGATTTTCAGCCCTGATGGCAAGAAGGTCAGACCGAGAATAGAAAGGATGTTTGTGGATGTGTTTTGAATGAACATCTTATTGCGATCATCTAAAGGTGCTTCACGTCACTGTCAGATGAGAGTGAATATGAAGAAATGTATGTGGCAGTCGTTGGCTAATGTTTAGAGAGTCGGACTTGTAACCCAAAGGTCACGGGTTCAAGTCTCAGTACCAGCAGGGATTGTAGTTGGGGGGGAAGTGAATACTCTCTTCCACCTTCAATACCACAACTGAGGTGAGACTCTTGAGCAAGTCACTTTTACTTTCACTTTCTTTCCTAGTTTAGAGTGGTGTTGAAGCATTTACAGTATACCAGTGTGCTATATGAGATTTGCTAATAATATGCATCATTTTACCTGACAGCTGTAAGGCCCTGATGATCTGCATTGTGGCACATGGTTTTTAGTTATTGCAGTAATAAATCCACGACACACACAGCTAATACGATGGATTGTGTTTACTAAAACACTCGTGCATGCACACAACAACTACAGGTCCCGGTTTGGGACATCTACTACAGTTATCACATAGAAAAAATAAGCTATTGAGTTTACAGGAGCTGAATGTGTGTCCATGTTCATCTAAGAAGCAAAACCAAATTCAGTGGCCTTGTTTAAATAACATTATCAGATGATAACTGCAGACGTACAGTAGCAGCTGAAGAGTGTTTTCATTGTGCTGATAAGGCAACATTCTCTGGAAAGAACGCAGTGTTTTCTCCTCAATCTGCAAGGAGCGATGCTAAGCGATGGTGCTTTGGAAAAAAGATAGTTAAGAGACTACAGGAGAACAATCAATGAAGCTGAAGAGCACTAATGTCATTAGAGGCTTTATATTTGCCGCAGCTGTTTTTACGTGATGTAATGAATTTTTCATACTGTTGATTTAATTATCTCAACCATCCCCTTTTTCTGCATATGTAATCCACAACAATCTTGATGCTTTTCCATTATTAAAACAAGTCATTTATTCTTGATATTCTGTTCTTGTGACTTGTGACTGTTCTCTGTTCATTTCACTTGCAGTTGTAAATGCAGTTCTTTCTTTTCTTTCTTATAGAAAATTTGTAAGGTAGGTTTACTCTTTGGTTTTACGTTATATTTTCTGGGGGGAAAACATATTTAACTGTAAGTCTAGCTAGGACAAAAGCTGTTTTAAAGGCAAGGAAACATCAAGTATTGATTTTGGTAATACAAGTTAATCGATAACAGCAATTTGTCAGTTCAGTAGTTTAGCAGTTAGTGTTTTTCTGTCTCTTCGTGTGATCTCAAATGGACTGAATGACGGTCAGATCTCTGTGGACCTTATCAGACTCCTTCATACAGAAATATCACTCAGTTATTATAATTAATGCCAAAATGAATGGTAAACTGTAACTTGACATTCATATCCTACTGCCGCACAAAAGCAAATAAATAAATAAAAAATTATGTCTAAAACAGCTTTTGGTGACAAATCTAACATGCCTAAGACTTAGACAGTATTGCATATATTCCTCATATGATTGTGGGATTGATAATTGCCAAAAATAATGCGATTTCTCTTATTTCTTCTACAAAGTCAGAAGAGCTTATTGGCAGGTTCATCACTAAAGAACAAACTCAATAATAGCTCACGATAATATTTACATAAACCTTTTTTATAAAATGTTGTAAATAAATGTCAACAACAATCACTTTCTGAATCACCAGTTTCTCCTTATCTTTTTTTTTTATTAGTTAATGTGTTTTTGTTATTACAGTGTCTTTACTTTTATCTCGCTTATATTTAATCTGGCATTACTCTTTACTCCATTTTATCTGAATTACATGACAATCAGTAATCACGTAAACTGAGCAGAGATTGTCACATATCAAAATATTGTGATATGATCTGCAATGACTAATGTGATCATTTCCTTGATATGAGGCTTTGCAAACTAGATGAAGGAAGTACTTTAAAAAGTCCTCTTGCAAGTTCTTGTGTTTATTTAGCAGAGGTTTCATGCTGATGAAAACAGAAGCTAAAGATGAAAAAAAGTGCGTGTATTGACACTGAAAATGCTTCTGTCACACAAAGACAAACATGACAGGTAAAAATCGGCCACTATCCAGCTCCATGTCATCTTCACGTAACAAATGACACTTTGTTACACTGAATTTCAGAAGTATCCTAATGGACAGTTGCATCAGTTGTTTACCACCAAATTTCCGTCAGGAGCCAATGGCAAGTTGCATCATTGCCAATCGCTGTTAATGATGAGGACTTGCCACCACATGTTTTCTGAACAAAGCCCGCCATCCATTAACTCCAGAGGAATTTGAACAAACAACAGTCCAAGCTACGATATCAACACGATTCACGGAGGAGCTGCAGCTTCACTTCTTATTTCACCCTAATTTGGGTGTCAGCTGAGACAAAATACATGAGATGAGCTGAAGAATAAACTGGATTCCAGTGTATGAAGGTCAGATGGAATGGATAAACATATTTGAATAGAGGCTGCGTTTAAAGTTCCTGTATAGTTGGTATGAATGGAACTTTTATCTGAACAGTCAATTATTGAGCTCAGTTAAGTAGACTTTTCCTTTTGGTTTGGTTTGATTTGGTTTATTTTTGCTGTGTTGCTTTAATTAGCTTGCTGTTTTCTCTGAAAAAGTAGTACTTTTAAATTCTTCTCAGTAAAAGCTCCAGATCACTGTTAAAAGTGAAAAGTTGAAAAGACTTCTTAAAGACTTGATGTAACTTTAGTGACATATCTTTTCTTCTGTATTGATGTAGATTTTATTTGAGATGAGTTTATTTGAGATTATTGAAAAAGAAAAAAATGTAGGGCAAGCAGTCCATTGGTTGATTGGATGGATCTGAATGTGAACTTGCAGTCGATTGTAAGAAAGGAGTGAACAAAATTATCGTTAGCAGAGGTTTCATGCTGATGAAAACAGAAGCTAAAGATGAAAAAAAGTGCGTGTATTGACACTGAAAATGCTTCTGTCACACAAAGACAAACATGACAGGTAAAAATCGGCCACTATCCAGCTCCATGTCATCTTCACGTAACAAATGACACTTTGTTACACTGAATTTCAGAAGTATCCTAATGGACAGTTGCATCAGTTGTTTACCACCAAATTTCCGTCAGGAGCCAATGGCAAGTTGCATCATTGCCAATCGCTGTTAATGATGAGGACTTGCCACCACATGTTTTCTGAACAAAGCCCGCCATCCATTAACTCGTTCTTCACAAAGCCAGTAAATATGTTATCTTTTCTATAAAACCAATAATATGCAAATGTCTCTTCTGCCAGAGAACCATTCAGACCATACATTTCCATACTGGCCTTTAGTCTCCAGAACACTTGGCTCTGATTGGCTCCTGAAACTCGTGGTGGTGTTGAATCATGGAAGTGAATGTGTCGTTAAAATGAGCTGTCAGTCCCACAACAAACTTCATATAAGCTCTTGCGGCTGAAGAGCATCTCTGAGACCACAGTAACTCATGAAAGGTAAGAGATGCTGCATATAAACTGCTGAAAAGTTTCTCTGCATTCAGATTTACTGACAGAATAAATGATACAACTGATACATTAAGACAGTTGAGCTGTACTGAAACTTTAGACTGAGGCTGCTGAATAATCCAACTTAATCAAACTTTATTGTTCTGTAGAGCTGCTTTACAGTTAAAATTGAAATCGTAATGATATTTAATATGACAGATTCCTGAACATGAAGAACTTTCTGAAGCTGCTTTGAGACTATCTGTAATGTATAAAGTGCTATAAACGTGACAAATCACACTAGTTTATATCACAAACTCATATATTTACAGTATTTATACTCGGTATAAACGATACTCAAATTTAAACAGTTCTACAGAAGTTTGGGCCAACTGTCACATAAGGCTGTGTTTTATATCTTGTTATATGTTCATATTTTGTGCATCATTATTATGCCGTTTAAATTGAGTTAAAATACAGTGAATAGAAGATTTGAGTCCTTTAAATATTATTTCATATTTGAAACAAAGATATTCTTCTGAAATCAGTGTAAAAACAACAACAAAAAACAGTAAATTTCTGCTACCATGCCCTACTGTAGATGGCAAAATCATTAAGGTTTGACTGAGGAACATACATTTTTTTTTAAATTAGTATAGAAAGTGAGTATTCTTCTAAAAGAAATTCAGAAAGCCTGTTGTTGCATTATGACAAGATGTTGATGCAGATGTGTGCTTTATTTCAACATGTATTTGAGCTTCAATTATTAAATCTGTGTGAAACAGCCATACTGAAAAGAGTTTGATCAGCAGAAACAGTGAAGTCCCCTCATGAAAGTTATTATCATGACAAAAGTGAAAGCTGCGCCTAGAGACATTGATGTGGCATTTTGGATGACGCAAATGTTAACGAGGGCCAGAGAAGCATTGTTCAGTTTGGTTGCATTTAATCACTGTTTGTGTGTTTCAGCAGTTGCACTCTTAAAAATAAAGGTGCTTCAAAAGGTTCTTCAAGCGATGCCATAAAAGAACCATTTTTGGTTCCACAAAGAACCATTCAGTCAAAGGTTCTTTAAAGAACCACCTCTTTCTTTCCTTTTTATAATCTGAAGAACCTTCTTTCGCCCCAAAGAAACTTTTGTGAAACAGAAAGGTTCTGCAAATGTTAAAGGTTCTTTATGGAACCATTTAGACAAAAAGGTTCTTCTATGGCATCGTGAAGCACCTTTATTTTTAAGAGTGTGGTCTCAGCACAAGGAGAAGACGATGGCAATCCTAGAGCTCTTCAGATTAATCAACTCCTCTCTGCTCATCAGTCAGCGGCCTCTGAACATCTCATCGGCCGAGAAGACTGTGTACCACAGCTGCACAGATATGCCTGCCATCCTCATCTTTTACTTGGTGCTGCAGTTCATCAACATGTTCCTGGGCATCCCGACCAACATCATGGTTTTGTGGCTCATTCGTAAGAATAAGGGCGACTCGTCTACCTCAGACATCTTCATCGTCCACCTGGCCGTACTGGACATGTTCTTCTGCCTCATTCCTCCGCTGGAGCTGGCCAACATCGTCTATCTGACCACCAGCAGCACCTGGTACGTCCTGCGCTTCTTCTACGGCATCAAAGACTTGTCGCCGCTCTTCCTGTCCTGCATCTGTCTGGACAGATATATGGCCGTCCTGCATCCCATCACCTTCACCAAACTCAAAGACAAGAGGCATCGCTCTGTCTGCGCTGGCGTCGTCTGGTTCATCACTTTGGTCTATGCCGCAGCGAAGTGTGTTGGAAACATCCCTAACTTTGAGAAAGTGTTCACAGTCATGATCCTGGCAGCGTTCGCATTCATGCTGTTTTGTAACATCTCCGTTCTCTGGGCTCTGAGACAGTCGGCTCCAGGTCGAGATGAGAGACATCCGGTCAAGAAGAAAGCCTTCAAAATGGTCCTCATCATCTTGGCCATCATTGTGTTTAACTACTTCCCGCCAGTGGCTCTCTTTCCCTTTCGAGAGTATTTCTCTCCAGATGTCTTCCGCTGTTATATCCACTACATCGCCTTTGGCTTCATGGACATCAGCAGCAGCATCCAGCCAGTTCTGTATCTGTCGCGGGAGAAGCTGCCCAAAACCCTGCGCTGCTGCTCTAAAAACACTGAATGTACTGATGATGCTGTTTACACCGTCTGAATCACCCCTCCTCTATCTGTTCTCTCTCTCTCTTGTATGGTGTTTGAATGTCTCTTACTCAATATTCAAGGTAAAGGAGTTTGTGCTGATTTATAAGGGGGGTTCAGCCTCTGTCGCCAGGAAGTCTATTCCTTATATGGATATGTTTTTCTGTATATGTGGCAATTTTATACAAAACACATGTTCTTGGGAAAAACATCCTGTATGGGTATGTCCCCCTATCCTCATTGGTTAAGAGGGTGAAAACTCCCCTCGACATGCCTATATAAGATCTGTATTTCTGTGAATAAATTGAAGTATTGAGAATACATGGACTGTGTGTTTTCTTACTTCCCGGCCGTATTTATTTACACTTGGAGAGACTGAGAAGATTTCACGGTGGCAAAGAGATATCGAGGGACCAAATTGTTATTTTTATTAACAATGGGGAAACATCAAATTCTCCAAAACTGGTCGTCAAATTTCATCAGGTCGATTAAATTTCATATTTGAAATCAACAATGAAATCTGACAACAACTGTATCATAAAAGTCGTTTATTTTGCTCAAATAGCGTTAAAAAAGCTTATTATTCAGGTTAGATAGGTCAGTGCGCAGTCCTAGGCGCACGTCTCAGATGGCAGCTGCAGACTTTACCAATTAGCGATTGGCTTTTTTGCTCAAAAGGCGGGGCTTCGTTCGATAGAGCGGCCATATTGAGCGTTGCATTTTTCCCCATTCAAAACTATACGACTGACACTTCTTGGGTATTCTATAGTCTTTGCTATGGTCACAGTAGTAATTTAGCAGACACATATTCACATTGTTGTATAATAGGTTTAGAGGGAGCTAGGGCAGACAACAACACATTACAAAAATTAACGACGGTTCATTTTCGTAAGGTAAAAATAAGACTCATTATAATGCAATATGTTCAGTATTAGGATTTTAATATCAATATCGTAATGATGTAATTGTTATTGTAATAATTTTGAAATAGGCATTTTAGAAAATATCAGGAGAAATGAAGAGACTGAAAAGGAAAATGGAAGTGAAGGTGCAGTTCAGGAGAGAACTTTAAATTATTTTGCATGTCCCCAGCCTAAGGATTTAAACATTTTTTAAGTGATGACCATAAAAAATTTCAGAATTTGTTGTGGGTGTATGGTATGGCCATCATGGCCTGGATGAGTGTGAGATTTCCCGGCCTGAAATTTTGTCCCAGTCCACCCCTGACCACAAATACGATTAGAGGATGATTACAGCTGTCTACTCTCGTCCTCATTCAAGGAGAGGCGTCTGGCATCTCAAACAAACAAACCGATCGGCGAGACTTGCTGTTTGAAATCGAGGGAGGAGTTGAAAACAGCAGTCGTAGCCTACTTTCTGATTGCCGCAACTCTCACGCAGTGTTTGTTGTCTTTATTGCAGATGAAGTTGGTTAGATATATTTGTCAAATACACAAACATTTTATTTACATGGTAACTGTTGTGTATTGGTGTGACGTCATCACGTAAGAGGGAGTAGTAAAAGTGGATGGCAAGTTCAATCAGGCATCTGTGTGGTTTGATCTGATATAAATAGTGAGTTTATGGCGACAAGGATGGGATAACAAAGACTGACTCCTTAGTTAAATCTGAAAGTGAGTCAGGCGTGCGTCACCCTGAGGAGTTTATTTCAGCTAATTAAAAAGGATGTTTGTGTGGAGAATTAGAAACCGTGAAGCATGTAGTAATGGAGTGTGAAATTCTTCGTGCTGCAAGAAACCGCATGTTTTCTGATCTGTTGGAATCCGGAGTCTCATCTTTATCTTTAAAATCAATTCTTGAAAATAAGGAATATGAAGCAACAAAGGTTGTTATCCGTTTTTTACTCCACACTGGTCCTTATTTGAGGATTTAATCTATGAGATGGAGTTCTTCAGATGAACTGGGGAGGGCAGCAATACGCCTTTGAAGCGTCTAAGCTGCCGCAAATCATACAAGAAGAAGAAGAAGGGAACAGTCAGGGGATCTTTGAATCACCAAGATGTTGTGTATTGCTGAGAAGTCATCACGTAAGAGGTGGTTGTAAAAGTGGATGGCAAGTTCAATCAGGCGTCTGTGTGGTTGTGGTTTGATCAAATAGTGAGTTTATAACAATGGCGACAAGGATGGGATAACAAAGACTGACTCCTTAGTTAAATCTGAAAGTGAGTCAGGCGTGCGTCACTTTGAGGAGTTTATTTCAGCTAATTAAAAAGTTTAGCTTCGAGATAGGCGCACGCGTCAAAGATGGATGTTTCACACCCCAAATTTGACTGCTACAGCGATCCAGCCACATTAGGTCCGTGGTGGACAAGATGGCTAAATGCTTTTGAACTCTTTGCCGATGGGAAAGGTTTGATCCTGACTGACGATGCATCTGTTGCCACAAAACAAAGATATTTTCTCCACACTCGCTGACACGGGAGGGCCAACGGACTATGAGCAAGCAGTGACAGCACTAAACGCATACTTTGTGCCTCAGGTAAATATGGCGTTTGCAAGACAGACATTTTATCACCTCAAGCAGAAAACGGGACAGACTGCAACAGTTTGTCACATGTTTAAGGCAAGCGGCCAAGGATTGTGACTTTGGAGCTGATAAAGACAATCAAATAAGGGATACTGTTTTGAGCAGATGCAATTTTTAATATGTGCGTAGAAAGCTGCTGGAAGAAGGCACTGATCTGACGCTTGCTCGCACCCTAGAAATTGCAGCGCAGTGTGAACGTGTTGAACTGCAGATGGCAGCGTTGCACATCTCTCCAGAATCTGAGATAAAAGAGACGGTGAGTCTTGTGTCCAAAAAAGGTGCGAGAGATCAGAAAAAACAGATGCAATACAGTAAAGGAAGAACAGATTCAGATAAAACTTGTTACAGATGCGGACAGACAGGTCATTTTGCGAAAGATTATAAATGCCACACACGTGGAAAATAATGCAGGAAATGCAATGGGAAAGATCATTTCGCAAAAATGTGTAAAACAAAAGACAGTTCAAAACAGACAATAAAAAGAGTTGACTCAGAAGAGAATAATCAAGACTTTGCATTTGTTGTAAAAGAAGATAGCAATATGGACAGAATAACTTTCTCAGTAGGGGGCATCAAACTACCAATGTTGGTTGACTCAGGAGCAACAAGCAACATAGTAGATGAAAGAACATGGGAAATGCTAAAAGAAAAGAAGATCAAATGCAGTTCAGCCAGGTCAGACAAGAAACTGTATGCGTACTCGTCAAGTGAACCCTTGCCAGTCAAAGGAATTTTCTGATGTGAGGTAGGAATTGGAAAACGCAGTACAACGGCAGAGTTTACAGTTATTTGTGGGCGTGGGGAGCCACAGCTCGGAAAAGACACAGCAGTTAAATTAGGAGTGCTGAGGATTGGAGCTAATGTGGCAGTGAGTGATTTGAAGTCCATGATACGACAACAATACCCCAAATTGTTCAGCGGAGTAGGCAAATTGAACACAAAACAGATCAGCCTGCATATAGACAGCACAGTGACACCTGTTGCACAGCCCCTGAGGCGTGTTCCATTCCACCTCAGAGAGGCTGTTGAGAAAAAAATTAATGAACTGCTTAACATGGACATTATTGAGAAAGTTGATGGAGCAACTCCAGTAAACCCAGTTGTCATTGTGCCCAAAGCAAATGCAGAAATAAGGATGTGCTTAGACATGAGGCAGGCGAACGCTGCAATCATTCGTGGGAGGTTTCCAATTCCCAGAGTGGATGAACTGTTGCAGGGAATGAAAGGATCAGCCATATTCAGCAAACTAGACCTGAAGTGGGGGTACCATCAGTTAGAGTTGACCCCTGAGTCGAGAGACATCACAACCTTTGCCGTTCACAATAGCATATATAGATTCAAAATACATTTTTTGATATTTGGAGTTTCCTCTGCAAGTGAGCAGTACCAACACGAAATAGCAACGGTTCTAGCTGGCATTGAAGGAGTAGAGAACATATCCGGTGACATAATCATCCATGCACCTGACAAAGAGTCTCATGATGAAAGATTGCATGCAGTACCAAGGAGATTGGAAAGCTGCGACTTGACTCTGAATGTGGAGAAGTGCCAGTTTAACCTGGACAAGTTAGTGTTTATGGGCATGCTGTTGTCAGAGAAAGGCATTGGCCCTACAGCAGAAAGAGTGAGAGCAGTCGTGGAGGCAAGGGAACCTGAAAATGCTTCAGAGGTGAGAAGTTTTCTTGGTTTAGCTGGCTATAGAAGCTGTTTCATACCTCAATTTGCAAGTATCTCAGAACTTCTCCGCAGACTGACAAGGAAGGACGCCAAATTTCATTTTGGGACTGAGCAAAAGAAAGCGTTCAAAATTCTCAAAGATAAGTTGGCTGAATTCACAACACTGGCCTATTTCAACAAGGACGCTCCAACGAAAGTCATTGCTGATGCTGGACCAAAAGGCATCGGAGCAGTACTAGTGCAGGACCAAAGAGGAGGAATGGTTCCTGTCTGCTATGTGAGTAGGAGCTTGACAGAATGTGAACAGAGATATTCGCAAACAGAGCGCGAAGCACTTGCACTGCTGTGGGCACGTGAACGACTGCACCCATATGTGTATGGTTGGAAGTTTGATCTGGTCACAGACCACAAGGCATTGGAGGCAATTTACAGCCCTCGTTCAAAACCATGTGCACGAATCGAAAGGTGGGTCTTGAGATTACAGCCCTATGATTTTCGGGTGATTCATATACCCGGAACGCACAACATTGCAGATCCTTTGTCATGCCTACTGGGGCCATCGGCCAAAGGTGCGACCCATGCACATGAGGAATATGTGAGATTCATAGCTGTTTGTGCGACACCAAGAGCCCTGATCACCAAGGAAGTTGAGCAGATCTCAGCAAATGATGTGGAATTACAGAGACTGAAAACTGCAGTTCAAACAGGTTGTTTTGACGACTGCCCTGCATACAGACATATTGCAGGTGAGCTATGTGTCATTGGCCAAATAATACTCAGAGGGACAA